AACTCTTATTCTTGTCAGGACTACTCATAAAGATTTTGACAACTATTTGCTACCAGCACTCAAAGATCTTTAGGAGAAGATACACAGCATGGGGACTAGTATATATGAAAACTAATACATGGATTCTTGGAAGAATTATTATTTTCCTTCAATAAATATCTAACTTGATAACACAGCAACATCTAAAAACAAATTATTCTCTTCCCTGCTTTAGTTTAGTTCTAACTTACTAAATTCAAATGTTAAACTAATATGCTGAAAATGAGGTTACCAAGCTGAAAGGCAAATACACACTCCTCTTTGTAATTGTAAAAAAGGTTATTTGTACAAAGCAGTATTCTTTCCTCTTTTCAGTTATTCTTCAACTAATTGGTTTTCTGTATATTAAATTTAGGTTCCCTCAAGCATTAGAGCTAGTTTTTAATCTTACACACATAATTTGTTGAAATACCTTGAATATGAACTTTTAAGATAAATTGTCCCAACTGAAGGCAAACAAATGAAAATCAAAAATACATTACAAACATAATTATCAACATTATTATTTTTAATAATAATGGTTATAATTGTTAAATATTTTCAAATTTCACCACTACTTAATGAATATATATAATAATATTTGATTTTCCAAGTTTTTAAAATCCTCATTCAGCTGAAATTCTGCTTTCTTTTTGCATTTTCCCAGTGTCAAACTCTGCAATTTTGCATTTGAACCTGTCCTCCCTGATTTCTACTGCAGTAAACAGGAAAAATATGCATGAAAATTAACACTTCTCTGTATTTTATTCTACATTACTCTCTTCTAGTTAAGTTCCCTCCTGTGAGCTCCAATACTTTGCATAGCAAAGCACTGGACAGTATTTTGTCAGTCTGCAGGAATGATTCATTCTGCAGAATATGGTGTCCTCTTGTGATCTTGGGAGGTTCCCTAAATCTGGGACATGTAACTGAACACGAAATTCAGTGCTGGTTTCAATTACAGCAAGACCTTTGGATGCCTCTGACATTTACAATAATCACATCACCTTCATTAGCCCCACAGTAGAGTGCACTGAAGGGATGCAGTGAATAAACTCATCCAGGTACTGACCTGAAGGATATAAAAGTATCAGTGCTTCTCCAAAAGCTGTAAAATGGTCATTTTTAGCCATTTACACACGGAGGACTGGTTTTTACCAACATGTTATTTGGGCATCTAATAACACTGAAGAGTTGCAAAGGATATGAAAACCATAGATTAATATAAGAAATACTTTTGTTAGCAGAGTTCAGCTACTGAAACTGTTCTTTAGGCACTGATTTAAGACTGCATTAATTATTCTAGGAATGGGAAGATAGCTCCAATTCTATCAAAACCAGCAAAAGTAGTATAGAAAAAATATCCATTGACATCTAACTGCATATTTAAAGGTAAATGTGCTTTTGGCAGCCAAATTTAAAAAGTAGTATTGAAAAAGGTAATATTGGCAATATTTATTTTAATGATTATTACCAAACACTTCCATATGAAACATCTGCACAAATCCTCATCCTAAACATCCTAAAAGTTCTGCAGAATTCCAAGACAGACATTCCCACATGAATGAATTCTTTTTATACTAAATTTTTAAACTTTGCTTTTAAACCTTCAACTGCCTGTGGAATCTCAGGGCCTTTAACCCATCTCAGTCAGTCACACAGCACAATTATTTTCCAAGGACTACTACACAAAATGGTACAAATTCCAAAGGGCAATACATTCTGTGACACACACAGAAAATAGCCCCACTAAAAGGACAATAATCTGCATGCACAATGTGCTGTGCAAATGAACTCCAGTGTGACAAACTGAGCCTTGTCAGCTGAGGTGACAATGTCACTCTGTGACTTGTCAGGTCACAACCACACCAGTGCCCCACGTCTCATCACAGGAGTCTTTCAGGAGTGCAGGGGATGGCATTCACTCCTTACTGTAAGGACAAAACCCTTTGTCTGAAATCTAATAAGTGGTTGTGGGTTTATGCAAGATTAAGGTAGAATTTTGGCTCAAAGCTAAAGCACTGAAAGAATAAGCAATGCAAATTTTTTCATGAGTTGCTCAACTGATAATTTTGTATGCATCAATTGTGCAACTGAAGTTGTAACTCAATTAGTATTTAAAGTAATTAAGGATGAAAGAGTATCAAAAAAAGCTTAAAAGGCGTCTTTTGTAATTTACTGAAGTGGCTGATCCTCCACCACTTCAAAAAAGGAGAATTAGTTATGTAACAAAGAAGAAAATGCCTGGTTTCCATGACAAAACCGTCCACTAAAAATTAAATGAAAAATGCATGATCTTCTACCAGATGAAAAAAAAAGCAGAAGAGCTCTCTGAAGTACTTCCATTTCCTCAGTCAGCAGGCAATGAACTACATTAACTGGACCTTATGCCAAGCAAACAGACCTATGGATTTTATTGATAAATCTCATCTATATTTTTATCACCACCAGCCATCCCACATTATGTGCATCACTGCCATTTCACATGTGCCAAACTTACCTACTCATTTTACAAATTACCTGGCAAATCATTGGAGGTCAAAGTTACTATCTTTAAACATTCATAATCCACATTCACTGACATCTGAATGCCAGTAAGGAATTTCTACCTTTTTTCTATTTCTTTTTGAAAATTTATATTACTTCATACAAATTAGTAAAGATCATTTTTTTAACAGAGACAAAGGGCAATCATGGCATTTTAATAACATATGTATTACTGTGGTCTTAAACCAAACACAATGTCATGAAGATCTGAGTTTTGCAGCTGTCTTTTGATGACTACAAGGATCACTATGGTTGAAGCTTCTTAAATATTTAATACAAGAACTCAGTGATACAAAGGCAAAAAATAATAAAAAGAGAAAAGCCTATATAAAAGCTAAGAAATTTTATTAACCTTAAAAACTCTAATTTAGGAACCCAGCAGTTCAGTAAAGATGTTTTTAGTCATAGGTACAATTTAAATCTCCAATATATTGGAGATTTTACTTGTGATAGCTAAATAAAAATTTCAGATAAATCCTACACTGCAAAGGAAAATTGCTTCAATTACTCCTCAATCCTTACTGGATTTATAGTGTACATTGCAATGTGTATTTATGCTCTTGATCAGTTTAAAGTTTTGATGACTAAGATTTTAATTACATGGTACTACATATCTACTACATACATACTACAATATTTACTGTTTTATTTCAAAACCAATATAGATAGGAAAACACAAATTCACATTTTAAAATGGCAGGGCTAAGACATAAAGACACAGATTACAGGGATTAAGTACAAAAATGTAAAACCTGGTTTAAAGAACTAAAATGTGTTGATGAAGAGTGCAGGAAATTTAAGGAATCCAGATTGATACTTCCTGAAATTTACAGAAATATTTAATGAATTACTCACCAGTCTTGATTGCTGGCAATTTTTTTTTGAGAGAAATGGAGAAGAGACTTCATTTTACATATAGAGCTGTCCAGTAGAGTTTTTGAGGGTTTGTGCATTTGTGTACATCATCAATATTTCATTCAATAAAATTTCTCAGTAAGTGGAAACACCAATGCATTACCTAAATCAGTGAATCTCCAGCTGGTAGGGGAAAAGTCTGTAAAAATAGCAGGTACTAGCAGGTGTGAAAATATTTATGAGTCACCTCATTTTTTGTGTATAGATAAGAGAGGTTTTTCCCCCAGCTTTTACTGATACTGGGAGTTCTTTCAAGTACCTTGTTTCCAATGGCTTTTTTTGGTGGGAAGTTGAAAGTCCTCACTTGCTGGTACTTATTCTGTAATTTCTGATGCAAACTTCTGAACTCTGCATACCTTCGATAGACATTCCACTCATCATCCTTTATCCTGATATAAACCTGCAAAATACAGACAGGGAAGGCAACCATGTCAAGACAAACAGGCCTCATGTGTGTCCCTCACTCTTTTGAAATCCTGGCTCAGCATCTTCATGTGAAGTGCCACGAGCTCCAGGCTGCCACAGCCATAGATCCATGGCTGACTGCATTTGCCTTTGCTGCTGTACAGGTCATTAACCCCATTCTCTCCCTTCTCCCTTTCCCTCCTCTTTCTCCCATTTTAATCAACACAGCTTGCTCATTTTAACATGACTGTGGGGCAACCATGGCAGCATTTCTTGTTACCATGGTTTCCAGCATATTCTGCTACTCAGTGACCAAGGGAAAAAATCATTTAATACCACTATGAAATTGATTTCTATGTCCTCAACAGAGTTTTTCAACTTTGTAAATTAGCTTTGCAGCATCAGAATTGCAAAACCTAATTTTATCCGAAGTATGAAACTTAATTTACTTCCTAACAAAATTACATTGAAAATTAAACTAGAAATTTTATTGTTTGGAAAATAAACACAGTTCATTCTTTCTGGTTGTATAGGACATTAAGTATAATTTAACACAGCTGTAGTTTTTGTGATTCTGTTTTTGTTTGCTGCTCATTATTTCATGAGCCTATTACCAATTACATGCTAAATATTCGCTTTCTCTAGGAAAATGTTATGCAGAAGTGAAATATACTTACAGAAAACTGAGATTTCACTCTTTCCTAGGCACTGACACAGTTTAAAAGAATGCTGAAACATCACAAGTCAGAAACTATAAACCAGATCCAGAGTGACCTTTCCCTTTGCTCCTTCAATGGAATCTGTAGTTTATTCATTCTTGTGTGTATGTTAATAATGTGAGTATTTTACATCAGGAATTAAGCTGGAACAGTATTGACTCCATTGCCTTGCAACTCCCAAACCCCCAGTAATTTAGTAGTAAACTGTGAGGCAAATATCAGGAGAACACTTATGGAAAAAAGCAACACCAACCACTGTCACACAAAGAGTGAGCAGTAACAACTGTATTTTTGTGGAAACAAGATAAAAATGAAATTTTGGTTTTGATGTGGCCAATTTCAATATTGAATTGCAGCTTTTCCTGGTGACTGAAGCATGGTCTCTCTTTCTTTCTCCCTGAGATATTGCAATTCCTTAGGAGAAAAAATTCAATTTTTCTAAAGACTGGTGGTATTTCAGAGATGAAGTCAATGTCTTGTCCCACAAAAGGTGCCCATGCTTTGGTCTTTGTGAAGTTCCCTCTTCAGACACCTAGTTTCTCAAACTTATAGGAGGCTTCTTTGCAACAAAATACAATATATTATGCAGATACCATGCAAGTTCTGTCAAATTAGAATATTTCAGTGTAGAAAATACTAATACATACAGGAAGACTATAATTCTAAAAAACGTAATACTATAATTCCAAAATTAACACGTCTAAGAATTGAAAAGTTTCAGAGTCCTGTGAATTCCAAATGCATATGTAAACAAGAATTCAACTAGTTTTGGTAGCAAGAATTCAGATATGATGGAACCACAATAGTAAGTCTGCAAGAAGTATTCAGATTTCTTTTTCACATTGAAAATAAAGCCAGGATAATTAAACACCTACAGAACCATCTGTTTTAACAATTGAGTACAACTTTGAAGGCAAATGCAGGAATATATAAAATGTAACTATTTTGCATAATTCTAATCAAATTTATTTAATGTAGTAAAAACTATATTAAATCTTTATTCACCCAGCTCTAAGCCCTCTCCCTGCCTATTCTCACTTCAACCAGTATATTGTCTGGAATTCTGTATACATTCCCAAGATTCATGTTTCAATTTCTGTGGGGGGCAGGATGACAAAAAAAAAAAAAAAAAAAGCTTATTTTTAACAAAGTTATTTAATATGGAAATCCTAATTTAACTGAGCACTTATCTTTGCACATGTGATTTGGTGAATCATGCAGTTCAACATTACCTGTTAAGCTGTAACCCACAGGTAATTAACTAAGGAATCCTGTACACTGGAATTGAAATTTTTCAGGACTGCAAAAGCATAGATCGATTTCTTAGATAAAACTATTAGAAAATTTCTTACTGCTCTTCTGTGTACATAGATATTGATTTCATTTAGACAGCAAGAAATGAAAATGCAACATTTGGAGCCCTGTGCCATATTGAATTTATTGACAATCAACTAATAGGCTATGAAAGGTATATTAAAGCTCATGATGCAGCACACATTTAAACTTTTATTATCTCAGAGGGGAATACTATTCCCAAGCTAAGGGACTGCTACAGACTTAATGCAAATTCAGTTGGGAAATCAAACTAAGTAAATACTAAATATAAAATTATTTGGATAAACTTATTCTAGTTTTGTCACTGAAGGTATAGTTATCTTAGGGCCTTGTTATAGAAAGTTGAAATGACTACTCTCAGGCTTATTCTCAGATCAATTTAAAAAATAAATTCTAAATCATTTCATTTCCTTTCTGATGCCCCTGTTTTCCTGATATTATCCAATTCCTAACTGCCTTAAATAATTTTCAGGGTAATGAATATGTACAGACTAAATCAAAATCACTGCTAGAATATTTACGTGTAGACAAAATATTTCACTTTAATATTGTCTTGAATATATAAAAATTAATTAATTAATTAGTTTCTGTTTGTAATTTAGGAGCACTTTCCACTTGGGTCTCCCATGTAAAGATTGATTGGTAACCTTTGTGTAGCTATGAGCTACAACAGCTCTAAGAAAAATTTCAGTTAATAAGTATGTTTAATGAATTAGTCTGTTATTTTCTCATCACAAACATGTCTGAAGTCAGAGATTTGGAAAGCAATAGCAATAACAGTAGTAATTTAATAGTGTTTATCAGTCTACTACCTGCTAACTTAATATTACTGAAATGCCAAAAATCTTCAGAGAATCAATGTGAAAGCACGAGTTTAATGACTGCATAGTGAAATGAAAAATCCTGCTCTGGTACTGGAGTTTGAGCCAAACTGAAGCAGCTCCTGTCTGGCCAGCCTGGTATGTGTACTTAGGCAAAGAAAAAAAAAGAGATTTTGGGGTTTGTTTGTTTCAGGATGTGTGTTCACAAAGACATATCTAATTTTTTTATTGGTGCAACAATGCGTCAATATTAAAAATCAGCCACTGATTGGGTTTTGCCAGGTCTAAGGGAAGTTGCTAAGGTCTTTATAGGGAATTATTTTTAAAATTGGTTCTTTTCCTTCCTCACCAAAAAATAAATTAATACAAACTACAATAGGTTAAGAATCTTTAAGCAGTTGAGTCAAAAACGTTAGCAAGTCCAGGTAACAGACTGGTGCCAACGGACACAGTTTATCATCATTTACATATAAAAGCCTGAGGAAAACAAAGGACAAATGCCAAAATTCCAACTTGCTCCAGCTCTAGAGTACACAGCCCAAATGCCTGTAATCAACACTTGTCCTTCTCATCTGCAGAAGTCCCATGTGTGTGCTTCTCTTTTCTGATGCAAAATATAGATTGGTATATTCAGGATTCACTTTTGTGTCTCTCTCCAGTACAGCAGCAAGAGATGCTGACTGAGATATTATAGAACCTTCTCCTGTTACAATGACATCCATGGCTGCAGAATTCCAGATTAAGCACCAGGAAGGATATTCCCTAGACAAAGTTACTCCTGAATCTTGCCTGCAAATATGGCTCACATTTCCTGGAAGGAATAATACTGAAGGAAGGAATATAATGAAAAATAAATTCTAAAACAGAGAATTCTATTGATGGGAGCTCCACAAATACGGAAGTGCTGAAGTCTAAGTCCTTGTGAGTCCATGGCCCATTCCAGGGGGAAGTGAATAATGTTAAGGGAAGGTGAGCAGTGAAAACTCTACTAAACCACATACAAAAATGGCACAAGATCCCAGAGAACTCAGGACATTTCAGCAGCAGAACACTTCAAAGGACAGAGAGAATACTGAGAATATTTGTACAGAATCAGTCCTAGGCTGGACAAGGTCATAGTTTTGAGCATGGAAAAAAGTGATGGACAGCATAAGGAATGCAAAGGAGACTGATCTGCACTAAGGAAGCTCCTGTGACATTTCCCAGCTAAGCAGGCATTGCAAGGGGATAAAAAAAGGGTGAGAGAAAACCTACTACTTCTGAATTACTGTAATCCTCTGTATTACTATATTTCTAACTTCCTTTCCCTCACTAATAAAAAAGGGTTTTCTGGAGATCCCCTTGTTTGTTACACACTTTCAAATCAATGCCCAAGCATGTGATAACAAAAAGGAAAATCAGCAACTAGTTTGGTAGGGACAACCCAATCAGCATGAACACAAAACCAGAACATGTTAACTGGCACCATTATTTTTTTATGTTAACTCAGCTAAGCTTGACTGGTGAATGTTTCCCTTACATTTGCCTTTAAATAACACTACAAATCTTAGAGTACCACTGGTCTGTAGTTTTACACTTTGGATAATAAAGTTTGTTTAATTCTTAAAACTCTGGTTCAACTTTAATGTACATCTCAATTATTCAGGAACATGATGTTAAAGAGGTTTTGATCAAAGTTTACCATTTAAGAAAGAATTGTTTTCAGGGGATTGGAAATATCTTTTTTTCCTGTTAGAAAAGCACACTATGAAATGGGAGTAACGTACTTCAATCTACTTAGGTTTTATCAAAATTATGTATTTCTGCACTCAAAACATAAAGAAGTAAAAAGTATTAATGAAAAAAATAAGAACCAGTTTCATTTTACTTCAGGACAATGTGATTCTGTTAAGAATGTAAATTCAAGCTCAACTCTACAAAGTTACCTCTGAAGTGTGAGAAATGAATACAAATGCAAGTTATATTTTGAGACAGCTGCAGGCCTGCATTTATGGTTAAGTTCCCCCTTTGAAAATGATCCAATTTAAGAATTTTCTGCATAATGAAAAACAAATGGAACAATGAAACTTTTCAGCTGTGATAGTAGCAGCTTTTCGTGTGCCATAGAGACATAACAGAAA